AACTCATTCAGCCTTGTCCTTGTCAACACTCTCACCTGCGTTAGAGAATCACTGAAATGATGTCAGCAGGTCCTTTTGTGGAAGGGCTTAAATGCAATGGAAATGGATTTTTTGGGATTAAGTTCAGGTTAGAACTGTGGTGCAGTGTTTAGCGCTGCTGCCTCACAGCAAGAAGGTTCTAGGTTCAGTCCTTTTTGTGTGGAGTTCGCACGCTCTCCCCGTGTTCACATGGGTTTTCGCCGGGGGCTCCAGTTTCCTCCCACGGTCCAAATGTGTGCAGGATAGGTTGATAGGTGTGTCTAAATTGGCCCTGTGAGTGTGTGCGCCCTGTGGTGTTTTGGTTCCTGCCTATGCCTGTTGTTCCCAGGATAGGCTCCAAGTGCCCCCCGCAACCCCAATTGGGTTTAAGTGGTTTCTGAAAATGGATGGGATTAAGTTCATTTTCATGGCAAAGAGGGACTTTGTGAAAACCAATACTTTCGTCATTCTCATAACGTTTGGCCATGGCTGTAGTACTAAAAGCCCATTTTTTTAACACGTAGGCCTACATTTGTACCATGTTAACGCAGTATAAAAATGCATGTCACCACAGGTTTGTGTAGTAATTCCCAATGTGTAATTAGTGTTCCTTACTTTCAGTGCTTGTTGGAGTTTCCCTATAGTCTTGTGTTTAAGTTACTGTGTGTTGTTGCTGTTCTGTTTGGTTTTTCTAATTCTGCTCCTTGTATCCAAATCCATTTTGCTATTTTGATGTCAGAAACACCAGACTCCGCCCCAGCGTAAGGAGGAAAAGGATTGTTCTAACTCTTTTATGTCAGGGTCAGCCCCTGTTGTCTCACTGTGTCCCTTCCCTGTTTGACCAGCAGGTGTTGCTGGTCATCCCGTCCTTCATGTTAGTCATTGTGTTTTCCCTCCTGTTTTCTGTTGGCCTCATGGCTCAACATGTTGAGCAGCCAGTTGTCTATGTACCCTTCTGTCCTGTGTTTGAGTCCCACCTCCTCTGTCTTTGTATTTTGCTCCCTAGTGTTTCATTTGAGTTTCTCTATTTGAGCCCTCTAGTGTCTGATTTTGTAGTTGGTTTTGGTTTTGTTCCTTGTGGCCCTGCTTGTCTTTACCTGTTTAATTCCCCAGTGTTGGTTCCTTATTGCTTGGTTAGTTCTTAGTTTCCCTGTTATCAGTTCCTTTTGAGTTTATTAGTTTCACCTGTGCCCCGTTTCCCTGGTCTTTGTTAATTAGCCTCACCTGTCCTGTGTTAGTCTCGTTACCCCTTAGTATTTTAGTTCCTGCTTCTGTTCAGTTCCCCGGTGGTTCATTTTTGTTGCTTGTCTAAGCTTTGTTAGTTTGGTTAGATCTGTATTCTGTTTACAGTACCTACTCAGTTTTTGTTATTTGTGATATGAAGTCTTTAATTATCCCCTTTAGTTTGTGACCCTCGTGGTCCTTTTGGTTTTGTGTTTGTAGTGTTTTCTGTTTTATTTAATAAACCCCTTTTTGTTCTTGGAGCCGCCAGTGGGTCGTCCACCCTTTTTTTGTGCACTATGCCTCGTTCTCGCACCCGAGCCGCCCGGATCCCTGACACTTTGAATTATTCAGAGGGGTGATTTGGGCTTAACATGCAATGAACCAATTGGAATGGCGCATCACCTCACTTTTAATAGGCAGTGGCACATGATCTACTGTGGATTGCTATGACAATGGCGTGTTTGCCGAAAATGAAAACATTGTCTTGAAACTAACAGCAATTAGAAATCCCCGTAATCATTGGCTTATACGTGATTTATCTATATTATATTAATATAATTATATATTATAATGTTTTGTAAATTGGACGGGATATCAAAACTCATTTACCCATGCCATCTTTGTATACTTCCATGAGGGTGATAAAATCTGTTAATTCTACACTGTT